CCTAAAACACCTGTGGGGGTTCTCTTGAAACAATTTTGGGAAAGAAAAACTTAACCACTCTTATGATGAGAACTGTCTGTGGTTAAAGTACATGGATATACACATAAGTCACTTACAATATAATTTCACATCAATATGGTAGTTTCAACCTTAGGTCTATGAGTTGCAAAGCAATATTGCTTTGATACTTTACAAAGAACTTCCAGTTCTATTTTTACATAAAATAACATGTGTTTACAGTTCTCAGTGGTCTTAATTCGGTCACCTGGAATTCTCATTTCTCAAATTTCATGTTGACTCTTCTTGGGTTCTCCACAGCTGCTATTGCGACTTTAATTTGTCACAAAAGCAAACTATCTCTTAAGAAAAAGCTAGTGCATTTCTCTGTTATCTAATTTCCTCCAACATTTTTCTTGTCTTAGGTATTCGTTTCCACCGGCATGGTAGCAACAAGAAGAAACACAGTCGTGTTGGAAAACTGCTGTCATTCTCAAATTTAAGTATCTTCTAATATAGAATGTCAAAAAAAAAAAAGCTAGTAGACTCCTTGTGCAAAATTGCTGTGGTCACATGTCACTGCTGTTATTGAACTCACTGCTCTTAGGGAAAGGAGTGTAACAGATGCTCTCTGACGATTTCCTGCCTCCCACCGTAGACCCCACCAGCAGTAGACTTTGGTATTTCCACGAGAGGAAATGTCGCCTTGCTCAGCATTTGAATGTCCAATAGTGGGCTGTGCGTGCACCATGTAGAATGTTTCCTCCTTGAGAATTGGTTCCAGACTTGCTGGATCCTCGTGAATCTTAGAGTGAATAGACAGGGGTGAGCCTTAAGGGGTGCACCTGTTCTCCCAAAATAAAACAAAACCCAATGGGCCGATCAGACATCTCCAGGGGAAAAGCCGAGCTGAGAGGGTAACAGATACGCTGTATACTTTCACACCCTGAGGAGCTCCTGCCTGCCTTCCTGTCCTGAGAAACAGCTCCATCCTTGTGAAGTCTCTGTTCTCATCTTCTCTCTAGTTCTCAAACCCCTGCTTTATTTCTACCTCGTGGCTGTAGATGAAGCTTCATTTCAAGGCAGCACCACATTGGATATTTTTTCTTGTCTTAAAAGCCTCTAGGCTGGTATGCATTCGAATCATCTGGAAGGCTTGTCAACACAGAGTACTGGATCTCATCCCAAGAGTTCCTGGTTCTGCAGGTCTGGGCTGGGGTCAAGGATTAAAGTTTCTAGAAGTTCTAATGCCGCTGGTCCAGGGGTCACCCGTGGAGAACCAAGGGTGCCTGGTACCACTGACCCTGTGGATTTACAAGGTACCCGGATGAATGACATACTTACAACATGCTCGAAAACCACTATGTCGGCTTTTCAATTTTCCTACTGTATTTGTGGTAGATGCCTCCCTAAGTCACTTGTTACGGTGGACAGTTGCTATGAAGCATGGGATACAGGCACATTGGACGCAGACGAATGGGAAGGATGGAGGGAATCAGGCACTCCCCTCGGAGAGGCAATGAACCGGCACTTTTCAGGAAGACACTTTTTGAAACTCACTAAGAAGCTACAGAACTGCCTATCCCTTGGACTTCCACTGCTAAGACTATTCCAAAGGAATAGCAGATACATAAATAAATATTTATGTATAAGACATACAGGAGCGTTGATCCCATCAATATGTACAGAGTGAAAAGTCAGAATTAGTCTCGATGTCCAGTAGACAGAGAATGGGTATATAAAGTGAGGTACGTTCCTAAGAATACACTAAAACCTTTTAATTTAAATGTAAGCATAGAAATACTTCCCATCAAAACATCTATGAACGAAATACTGATTTTAAAAGGATGCCCACTGTCAACAGCATACATTAGAAATTGAAAAGTATGAGTCTCAAATTTTAGGATCAAGTTCCACTTCCTCACCTACCTTCTTTGCAGAGCAATGTCCCCGGGGGGACACAGAGGTGCCAGGTGCCAAGGAAGAAAGCATATTGGAGACCCCTGATGTGTCCATGTATGCATTTGGGATATGCAAGCGTGTCATGATGCTGGGGGCTGGCTTTGACCCCCATGTTCCACTCTCGATGGTGATGGCCTCGAGATGAAGTCAGTACACAAAGGCATCCATCACAGGAACTGGAGCTATTGCTTTATTCAAAACACTTAAAAAATAAATACAATAAATCAGGGTTTTTTTTCCTTTGCAAGTATTAAATACAGATGTACTGTATGCATATGAAATTTTTGATTAAAATGTCCCTCACCAGTCTGTCTCTTTAATTAAAGAAAGCCTGTTTGGTATTAATCAAGGCACAAAGAATTATACCCCAAATCCAGATTAATTAAAAGCCTGGAGCTGGGATAACAAACTGTGTAAAAGACTAAAGTAAATCAATCTAAAGTTGATATTTATGAATATGGACTGTTTGTGGGCAAAATATAAATAATTGAGATGGAGTAGTAGATGTCAGATATATGATAGGATTTTTTATATTATAGAATGTATTTCCATGTAAATCTGAACTCACGTTTTGAATTAAGGTTTCTATTTTTAGCATTTATTGTTCATTATGGAGTGATGATAGCTCTTCCTGTCTAATCTCCCCACAGATCCCTGTGCTTCCCACTACCTGCTCAGACGCACCAGGAAAGCGAGTCCAGCAGGACTCAGCCCTCTCTGCCGAGCTTGGTGTAATCTTACTCAGCATCACCTTGAGCTCCCCACATGGAGCACAGCCTGGCACCCATCAAGGGTCGCTGGGCGCAGCTCATGCACAGAACTGATACTTGGTATAAGTTCATTAGTATGTTCACCAAATTGAAAAACGTATTAGTCCTTAGGTATTCTTTAAATGGGAATGCAATCAAAATATTTGATCATCTTTAAAACTAAAAAATGCATGACCACTAATTCGTATGTGGACATTTCCCGTCCCTACACCCACACACATCTATAGAAGACGTTGTCTCTGATTCTCCCTGAGGCTCTGCAAATGGGAAGACCAACTTTGCACTCAGGTATTCGAACTATAAATCTAAGATTTATTCTATTACAGCTTTATATCACATATCTAATCTTCTCGGGGAGAATAAAAGTGATTTTAATTCAATTGCTGATCTCAATTGCAATGAGTAAGGCCCTTATTTGGCACTCTGTCTCAGCAAGAATTCTGGCTAAGAATAAATTCTCAAGAATTGTGGGTCCTCCTCCTCCTCCTTCTGTTCTTATTCCTTTTTCTTTTCACTCTCCAACAGTTTTATTCTGTTTTTCTGTTTCTGTCTGACTTCAGGTAGAGAATAATGATATAATAAGAATAAATTGTACATTTTATCATTATACAAAATAATCATGAAATGGAAATGAGTACTGGATAAAGTTGTGCTCCCAATCCATTGGGAAAAGGGTGGCTCATTCAGGAAAGGTTATGAGGATCCACTTAGGCAAGATGGGGAGATTCCTGCTGAATACAACTTTCAAAACTAAATTCCAGGAAGGCCAGTGAACACTGTAAACATTGTAGGGGAAATACAGGAGACCATTCCCTAATGCTGTGTGTGGAAGTCCTTGATGGGCAGATGTCTTAGAGCCAATGACTCAAGGATTCAACCTCAGCAGATAATCACAAATCATCTGTACTCCCCATTGACACACACACATACACAAACACGGAGACACACGTGGGCACACACATACACATGGACACACACATACACATAGGTATACAGCAAATATGAAAAATGTAGTGTTCCAAAGAGATCCTGAAGCACATTGTGTTAGCTTATATAGTTATCATCATCATCATCATTTTTTTTTCTTGAGGAAGATTGGCCCTGAGCTAACATCTGCTGCCAATCCTCCTCTTTTTGCTGAGGAAGACTGGCCCTGAGCTAACATCCATGCCAATCTTCCTCTACTTTATATGTGGGATGCCTGCCACAGCATGGCTTGACAATCAGTGCCATGTCCACCCCCGGGATCTGAACCGGTGAACCCGGGGCCGCAGAAGTGGAATGTGGGAACTTAATGGCTGTGCCACCAGGCTAGCCCCAATCATCACTTTTATAATTAAAAAGTAGGTGACTATGTTCTTTGATGCACTTAATTATAACATTCAAGTCAATTTCATACTTGCACAACTTTTCACTGCTAGATATTGATGTCCTTAATGATCTCAATTTTAAAAGAGGTTTAGTTGGTTAACTCAAATGTTACTACAGTAAGATCTAGGAACAGACCCAATTCCTTCTAGCTATAGTAAAATTTAGCAAAATCAGGAGTTTTTCTGTAAAATTACATATAAATATTTTTCGTTATGGCATCAGAATTACCAATTACTCATACTTTTAAAAAATAATGGATTTGATATTAGACATAATTCTCTATGTTTGAAATGACGTAAACGATAATAATCACATGTCCAGATTTAAGTAAAAAGCAAGAGTTGAAAATGGTAAAGAGTGTCAAAAGTTCAGAAGTAAAGCCAGTGAGTGACCGAAGTAGTAATTAGTAAAAGTTTGTTGTGCACGCACCCAAAAGTCACTTCTAGAACAGGAGCGCTCACACCAAACTAGGAAGGAGGCTCCGTGTGTATCGTTATCCAGTGGCTGTGGAGTGTGGGGCGGTGACTGGTTTCTCTTCACAGGGATCGGCTACAACATTAGAATTTTCCTAATGAAAGGGGGTTGGTCAGCATTTACCTCGTGCCAACCTGGGGAAACACTTTAAGTTTTGCTTACGATTTCCAGAGGCTTAAACAAGAAATGACCCGAGTCAAGTTAGTCTTGCAAAAGAAGCCAAATTAAACTTTGCTTAATGACTAAACTGGTTTTATCTGCTCAGGGAATTATCAAGGCTGGTCTCCATGTGTTTCTGATTTTAACAAAGGCGGGCAGATTCGCGCGGCAATGCCGTTACCAAAATGATGAAATGGCTTTTCTCCTAAAAGTAATGGAAAACCCTGGAGAATTCACACTTTTGATTTAATCCTTGATCAATGACAAACACTAAAAAATAATTGGCGTGAGGCTTGGCGTATTTATAAATAAAAGATGTATTTTTAGCAGAAAAGAGAAATTTCTATGCTTTCTTTTGTTTGTTAATATATGGAAAATGGATTCATTTGTAGGGATGAATCTGTAGAAGTATTTTTGGACTTGTACCAGTTATTTGTTCCTAATTTCATTGAATTACTAGGTTTCAGGCTCTTCTCTAGACTCTAGAGATAAGTAGTGACGAAAGGATACATTCCTTCCATCTTGTAGTCTATCTTCTGGGAAAGATTCACCACCAGCCACCTGAAGACAAAGCAGTAACCAAACAAAGACAACCGTCCAATGTCAGATAGTGATGAGGAGGAGGAAGGAACTCAAGCAGAACGCAGAACGATGGAAGTAGGGTTGGTGAGGAGTGAGAAGTTTGCTATTTCAGATGAGGTAAGCATGGAAGGCTTCCCAGAAGAGGTGGCCCTTCAGAATTAAGCCATCAGGCAGATACGGAGATATTCTCAGTCTCTTATAGTCCTACCTAACACCTTTGACTTTCCGGGTTTTCCCCATGAAGACTTTCTTCATTTTTTCTTTACTTACTATATACTGCTTCCTCTTCATTTTTCCTGTAAAATATGGATTTAAGAAAACTAATTTTAGCAGACTGTCTATGTAGTCACAGTCTCGTATGGACACTTTGTGGTTTTAAAGACTTTTGGGGGCATCAGCACGTTTCTTGGTTTTCACTGAACAAAAACTATGCCATCAGCAGTGCACGCACACACGTACACTCACATGTGCAAGGCCCACACACAATCTCTAATGTTACCAATCCTTTGTTTCTGGAAGAGAATAAAATGTGAGCTAAAGTACTCCCATCTAAAAGAACTGCAGAGTCTAACACAATTATGCTCGAAAGATTTCTATTTTGTAGGACCAAATCTGTAAAGAACAGCAAGTTTTGTAACTAATCAGTTTGACCTCGTTTACCATCTGTTGCTTTGCCCAGGTCAAGCCCGCTGTATCTCGAACCAACGGAACTTGTGATACTGCTTAGCGCTCATTCTGTCTAGCAAAGAGCCTTGTTTCAGGGAACACACCACTACTTCGCCCCAGCAAGAAACCCAGGCTGTGAGCTGACGAGGACGACCGACTGAATCCGCACTTTCGGGTCTCTGAAATACTGAAATGTGGACGATAGATATGTGTGTGAGCTTTCTTCATGCAACCCGAACACTCCCATGTGCCACGGCATCCTCCGGTAAGGATTCCTGTCCGCACAGCTGGAGGACAATGGGCGCGTCCCCTGCTGCTCTTCCACACCGAATTGGCCTGCTCCCGAACCCAATCGGAGACGAGGCACTGAAACCTGTTTCTCTCTGGAGACTGGATCAGCGGTACAAAAAGTTTCCTCAAATATAAAAAGCCCCCGGTTTGACCGCTCAACTTGCTCTACGTGTTTCCCTTCTCTCCCTTCAGAACCCATGGTAGACTGTCGCATGTTGAAAAGAAAATCATTTTGACCCCAACAGAATCGATCAAGGAAAGTTCTGGACTCTCATCACACACGTTTGCAGGTTGTATGGAATTCAGGTCTCCCACCTCCATGGTGTTCATTCTGACATCTGCACATACCAGCTGGTAATGGTTACTTTGCTTCCTATCACTTGTAATTTTGAGTGGGCCTTGTTAATAAGGATGGATGGGAAGCAGGTGTGGCTGTTTCTGAGCGGTTATTTCGACGTAATTGCTTCAGGCTATTGTTTTAAGCAGCTTCCATGTGTAAGTTGTTCCACTCACAGCTGTCAATAGCAGAGACGCTAGTAATGCACAACTACTCCATTCAGGCTCCGTTTACAAATCTAAATTAATCATGAGAAGCATCCAGATCTGGCAATTTAAGCAAAAACGTTAATAATGAAAGCAGAGTTCATAACAGGTGAACTGGTAAAAAGAAAAAAGAAAATTCCAGTCTTTTCAGGAATTTCAAGGACATAACTTTACACTCATAGGCAAAGTGCATACTGGTAAATTGAAAAGTCTGACATTTTCACTACTTTTTGCAGTATAGCAAGACAAATACAACCAAGATTAAACATTCATTTTAGAACATCCCTCTTAAGATTTTTTTAAATTGTTTTATATAATTCAACTTAGCAACTGAAACAGTAGTGTGATGAAATTCTTGATCACAAAGCTGAGGTGCTATTCTAAGCGCAAATCGGTAAACTACGTGCATATCTTGCTGAGTGGAATTTCCAACATGAAGCTTACGTCTGAAGCACAGCATTACGGACAAAGAGGTGGGTTAATCGGTTTGGGGCTTTGGAACAGTTTGTTTCTCCAGATATTTTTATCCCATGCATGAAAAATCACAAAGGATAACAATTGCTTGTTCAGGGTGAAAAGGGGAATAGCTTGATGTCTTGGTGTCGTTGCCTTGTTTTTTCAAAGAAAATATTTTAAAAACGGAGTTATGAGAGGCCACTTTTGAAAACTCGTCACATGGCTTCACTGCACCAGGAGGGGGAGTGAGCCTGGTCTATTCTGGTCACCCCAGACGCAGGTGTGACTCTGTTTCCGCCAAGTTGCTGTCTGCATTTGGACACAGGACCACCTGAATTGCCAGCACAACCTTGAAGAGACATTCTATTCCTTCACAGGTGGGAATTTTAGGAATGAATTCCTTGGCCAGAACAAGCTATATTAATCAAAGGCTGCAATAATTGCTTATCAACCCTTGGGAAACACCGGACTGCAGGATCGCGGTGTTTGTGGCTTGGCAAGGCAGGCAGATGAGACGTATTCGTATTGATCAGTATTGTAGACTCTGCACATCCAGGAGGAGACATGCAATGAGCATGGTCCTGCTGACTATTCAGATGTTGGACCTGCACAGACGGGGCTTTTCTCTGCTCCAGGCTTGGCCTAAGGCAGTTCCCAATGGTTACGAAACAATGTCCTGGTGATATATTTGCTTGCGATATTATTCTCATATTCAGACAGTTGGTTAGAAAGTAGTGCATGCAGAATTGCTATGTTTGAACTGCTTGACGTTGATATGATTTTTCAAATTATTTTCCTGCATATGCTCACTTTTAAAATCATAGTTGCGGGTAAAAAAGTTATTTTGTGTAATAAGAAATATCAAAGTAAAAGTTTTCTTTTTTTTGAGGGAAATTGTGTGCCATGTTATTAGCACCCCAACATGTTAGCGTTTTTAGGTTGTTGCGAACGTTCTGTCTGCAATCCGCGGAAGATGGTGGGAACCTGAGGGATGCAGGAGAGGATGCAGGGTTGGGAGGCGCCCACACCTGGGTCTGAAATCCAGGTGTCATTTCCTTCACGTGTGACCTTGAAAAAGCACTTGGCTCCTCTGAGTCACTATTTCCACATCTGTAAAGTTAAAATACACTTCACCTTTTCTGTGTTGTTGTATGAGACAATTTATGTAAAGTTAACATGTAGTGAACACTGATCTTGCCTTAGACATTTTGCTAAGCACCTCAGATTTCTCTCACTTAATCCTCATAAAATCCATGATTCACTTACTATGCTTCTTTTCCAAGGATGCAGAGACTGACACTTCCAGAGGCTCAGCATTGGCCCAGTTACGTAGCCAGTCCTGGGGTGCCTGGATCTGCTCATCCCGGTGCTGGCTCCAAGCAAAGTTGCTGAGGAGTCAAGCATGTGCCACGGGATGCTGTGCTCCATCACGTCCGCTTTAGGACGCGCATAAAGCAGTGTTTACTACTTCTGTCGGAAGTGGCTACTTCTAACCTACATTTCTGCAGAATGCTGGTGTCCAATGAACTGGATTAAGGTGTTGACCGCTAAATTGTACAGTATTACCTTTAAATCAGTTTGTAAAAACATAGATTAAAGAATTAATAGATTTGCATGCTGTTTGAATTTTCACCCACGTTTTTCTCCTTTGGTACCTTCTGGAAAACGCTAGAGAAAGGTAACAGATGATGGAATAAGTAAATCACTAATACACTAGCATTAACTGAAACTATTAGGAAGAGATGACTACATCAAAGCAAATAGAACGGAGGTTGTAATTGCACATCATATGACCATCGTTTGCGCATATTCTCCTGCAATGGTTCTTAGTTCATGGGGTGAATTAAACACGTCAATCCTTTACCATGTGAGGCGAAACGCCATGAATTCTAGTCTTTCCAGTGACTCAGCTTTCTGAGGATGCCTTGGAGTCCGATACCCACCTTTCTGGTGGAAGACAGTGGTCAGACCTGTCTTTACTGAGAACACACTGGCAATTTTCCTGATTGATTTTTAAAATTTCAATTTGTGCTGTGCTCTTGAAAATGAACCTTGATAAATGGAATTTACTTAGGGTTTTGAATGATCCAATTTTATTGAACCAAGATTGCTTTTAGCCCGGGATGAAATCTGTCTCGGAATTGGATGGGTGCTATAGGCTGAAAGCTCGTGTCCCCCCAAATTCATCTGTTGAAATCCTGACCCCCAGGTGACGAGGTTGGCAGGTGGGGCCTGTGGGAGGTGAGTGGGTCACGAGGGTGGAGCCCGCATGATGGGATTGGTGCCCTTATAAAAGGAAGCCAACACACTGCCCCGCCTCCTTCACCTCAGGAGGGAAGACTGCCTCTGTAGCCCCCAGGAGGCTCTATCGACAGGACCCAACCATGCTGGTGTACTGAGGCTGGACTCCAGCCTCCATAACGGTGAGAAATCAACCTCTGTTCTTCAGAAGCCCCCAGGCTGTTGTGTTCTGGCATAGCAGCCTGAATGGACTAAGACAACAGGCCTTGACCATAAACACTGTCAGGAGCAGTGCTGTGTGGGTGATTCACCTGGTCAACTTGCTCAGCTCCTGGCTTGTTGATGGCTGGGGACCATGGCAGACCCTCTGTTTCCACAGGGGAGTCATTCTGTGGTGGACTCCTTGGGCCTGGAAGAGCAGGGAGAGCTCGGAGTGGTGCCTACTTGTAAAGAGGACTTGCCAGCTCTCAAAATTTCCAGGTGATCTTGAGGCCTCAGTGCTTTGCTGCACAGAAAATGGCTCGTGAGTCAGTTCTCTGCTTCCTTGTCATGGAGCCTCTCACATATACACCCCCAGGGACTTGCTTTCTGCTTTTTTACTGCTCCTTGAAACAATACCTAAGCAAACTTTCCTATTGAAATGATAGTTTATGATGCATCCACAAATCACAGAAAAACGCAAGGATCTAATACTGTGTCTTATTTGATAAACTTCCTTTAGGATGAAAACACAGCAGAGGTAGGAGCCAGTACCAGCATTCTTGTTTCTTCTAGGAAATCAGGTGTAAAGATTAATTTCCTACGTTATTGGGCTCCGTTGTCTTCATTCTCACCTGGCTATTCAACTCCTGAGTTGGACTTTTCAAATTGATTACGTCAAAAAACAGATTACTGATCCCACCTGCTAGCCATCCTCTCCTTTGTCCTCCTAACTCGGGAAATGGCAAAAACCCGCTTGTAGTTGCTTATACAGCCAGGTGCGAGTCTTTTCTCTCTCACCAGTTTTAAACAGGGGCTGATAAGAGTGACTCAGTGGTAAATACATCTGGAACGACCCTGCACCCCCGCCCCACTTCTCACTCCATCATCAGCTGCACCCACCTGGTCCTGACCAGCAGGCACCTGGGTTGTCGCGACAGCCTCCCCATGTGTCACCTGACTTCCCCCTCTGCTCTCCCCAGAGCGTCTTTAAAGGCAAGTCCGACTTTGTCTCCTCCAGCTCAAACCTTCCACATCCCACTGAGAGGAAACTTGAGATACTTACCAAGGTGTAACAGCCCTACCTCAGGATTATTAACCCCAGCTGCAGACTGGAGTTAGTCCAGGGAGCTGTTAAAAAAAAAATTGATGCCAATTACAAGCACAGGTGAATGAAATTGGAATCCTTGGTGGGGGTGCCTGGAAATTGGTGTTTTTTTTAAAAGCCCCCAGGGATTCAAATATAGAGCCAAGGCTGAAATGATGGCCCACTGTGATCTCATGACCTTGCTACCTTGGGAACTCACTCCTCCCTCCTTCCTCCTCCCTCCCACTTACTCCCTATCTCCTGGCCATGCTGTGTTTTTCTTCCTAGAAATTGCTGCTATCAGAAACTCTATAAATTTTGAAATATTTGATTGATTTCTGTCACCCTCCACTGGAATGTAAACGCCAATGTGAGCAGGAACATTGTCAGTTTTGCTCACTGTTCTATGCCCAGAGCTTAGAGAAAAGCCTGGCGTGTTCCAGGAGCTCATGGTCATTTATTTAATGAATGGATTAATTCCACAAGCCTCAGAGCAGAACGCCCAGCAATCGCAGGCCTCTGAGAGCTTGTGTGCAAATTAGTAAAAGGGGACCTTTTGGGTAGACAAAGGCCAGAACGTGACACGCTGGGGTTTTGTTTTCTCCCATAGTTTTTGCTAGTAATTTATATTTACATTTATAGTTTTGAACTTCAGCAAAAGTGCGAGAATAATAAAAGGAACTAGAGCGTGTTTCACCAAAGTCACAATTTTTGTATTATCTCTCATTGCTCTGTCTTCATCTGTGGTGTGAGCGTGCTACCCTCCCTCTCTCTGACCCTCCCTCCCTCTCTGATGCTAGGATTTTTGTCTGAACTGTTTGAGATTAAGTTGAAGATATTTTTCCTCTTTACTCTTAATAAAATCAAAAATATTCTTTGATAAAAACATTATCAACATAAAAATGTTAACATGGATTTAATACTATTACATATTCCACACTTCATATTCAACTTTCACCAATTTTCTCTGTATTGTACTTTATAGAAAAATGGCCTTCCTGGCTCAGGATCTGGTCCAGGACTGTGTCTGTCTCTCACCTTCTCCTCCTCCTCGCGCTGGATGTGTTTGAAGAAAGCCAGGCTGCCCCTTTATAAGATGTCGCTCCATTTGTTTGTCTGATGTTGCTTTGTGACTAGATGTGGCTTCTGGGTTTTGGCAGAAACGCTGCTGTCCTGGTGCCATCACATCAGGAGGCAGCTGATGCTGGAACGTCACAATCCGGATGGTGGTGACATAACTGTGACCTGGGTAAGCAGTTGTCTGCCTGGTTCTCCATTGTGAACTCACTATTTGTTTCTGAAATCAGTGCATCGTCTGTGGGGAGGTCCTTTGAGACCTGTAAGCTATGATCCGATGGGATCCGTCTGGATTCTGGGGCTCCCTTGAGCAAACAGCTGCCCCTCTGTGGCTTCTGCACGTGCCTCGTTTTGTGTGTGAAGGAGTGTTGACCAGATAAACTGTGGAATGGAAAAAAAGCTTGCAGTGGGAGTCAAGAGGCGGATAGTTTTAGGTTGGAAAGTAATTAATGTGGAAACCAGAGTGGTCTAGTTAACTTCACAGGGTCTTCTCCCCTCTCCTCTGTCAAAGAAGAGCTGGGCAGTAACTTACGCTATCAGTTTGAAAAAAATCAGTCGTGTTCGAAGATGCTGTAGCAGAGAGAATACTCAGGGCTGCTACCACAAAGCACCTCGAAATGTCAGATAAGACAGAACAACAGTCTCTCAGATACAAAACCAAACTTGGAGTGAACAGGGAAAGCCCCAAGGGCGAAACTTAACAGGGAGCAAAAAATAGAGTGTGATTTTCCCTGAGGCTTCAGCTCCCTTGTGGGGAATCCGCTGCCTTGGTGACTTTGAGGTTTGGCTTTAATGGGAACTTTGAGACCACGTGAGTGGGAGTGAAGGCGAGACCCGTAACTGGCTGGGGTGACAAGAGAAAGTAAGCTCGGGGAAGAGACCAGACGCGTTCTAACCAGGCAGAAAAGAAAATTCCCTGGGTTCTGCGTGTGAAAAAACGTCTTAATTTTTAAACACAAAACTGTCTCACTTGTGGTTTGGATTCGAAGCTTTACTGATGTTTTAGTTTCCAAAAACCTCAAGTCGAGACATAATAGGTGGAATCTGGGTCCGTGATGCCCATAGGAACACATCACAGAAGTTAATTCATATTCTCTCTAGGGGATGGAGTTTATTGTTGCTATTCTGGCTTTCATTCTAGGAAAAAAAACCACCACGATACAATATATATATAAATATATCAGTAGAAACAAATATAGTCGTGGAAAATTCAGGTAACTGAATAGTCAGAATATATTTTAAAAGACACATTTAAAATAGAAAAGAAACTGTAAGGTGAACTAAAATTATTGGAAAGAAATAATATTTTAATAAAATAAAAGATTAATAACAGAACAAATGTGACTGCTAGGTATAAAAATAAACCTCTTTGGCAGGAAATATAGGTGGACTTCTGTTTCCGGAAATATGTCTATATGGCAGACTGGAAATCCCGAATTTTTCTGAATACAGGATATATAAATAGATACAAAGAATGTGAAAGCCACCCTTTTGCATAAATAGGCATTGAACAACCTAAGTGGCATTGTCCAGGTCCAGGAGTCAAGCAGCCTTAGATCCTGGAGGAAAGCTGCCTCGATGCTGTGTGGCCCTGGAGCATAGGTACAGTCAGGTGACCTACAGCTCAAACCCTTAAAGACCGGAGAAAGACCCAGCCTGTCCTGGAATGGCCATCATTCTGGAGGAAAACACTTTAAGGAATAAGGAAATCCTCCCTCCAGCAGCAGATTCCAGGGACATTGAAGGATCTGGATGGAACTATTAGAAATCTTTTTTCTTTTGAAATTTCATAAAGACATATGAACACCAATCAGTGTCTGAGAACTGCCAGGGAAGTTGCTTAAAGTCAGGCCATTGGACTTCCCAGGTCCCTGGCAGAGCCAACACATTTCCCCCATGGATGAACTCACCTCGCAGAAATCTTAGACAAATATATGTAAATATGTTCACAACATGTCACAAAACATGAGGGAATATCCCGTCCCAAATGTGGGGCTCCCAAGTGATGTGTATCTCCATTCAAGAGGCAAATTGAAATAAACCAGAGAAAGATAAATATTGCGTGATCTCACTTATACGTGGAATGTAGTAAAGCCAAACTCAGTGAAGCAGAGAGTAGAATGGTGTTGCCAGGGGCTGGGGGTGGTAAAATGGAGAGATGTTGGTCACAGGGCACAGGCTGTCAGTTATAGGGTCCTGGGGATGTAATGTACAGCGTGGTGACTACAGTTCACAACATTCTTCACTTGAAAGTTGCTAGGAGAGTAGAACTTTAATGTTCTCACCATAACAAAATGGTAACTATGTGAGGGGATGGCTGTGTTAACTCACCTGATTGTGGTAAACATTTTGCAACATATACTTGCATCAAATCATCACAAGTACACCTTAACCGTACACAATGTTACTTGTCAATTATATCTCAAAGCTGGGAGTCGGTTCCAGGAGTGGATTCCCACCACCACAATGGGCATGCTCCAGGGAGTTTTCACCCAAGGCAGGTGGTCTGCCCATGCTTACTCCTGGACTCTGTGCCAGTGAAAGGCTTGGGGCCAAGTCTCACCTGCAGTGATGTTCAGAGAAGCCAGTGCTGCCACCCTCTCCTTTTCACTCTGACTTGGCTTCATTAAGAAATATTAGATCCCTCTAGGCGCAAGCTGAGTCTGTGGAAAGCTTTGCCCATCAGTGTTTCTGTAGTAGTTTACTTGACATTGGCCTGATCTTATGAACTGGATTCCATATCACATAATATAACACACTGTTAAATATTCTAGAATTGGATACATCCACAGAGTTCTCTTTATTTGCTATAAAGAACTTTGTTGGAAATTATATTCCAAAATCCCAGTAACTATGCATATTGAATGCTATCTTTTTTGAGTAGTGTTAAACAAGTTTGCTAATATTGATTAGTTATATAGTAAAAACAAACCAGACAAATTAAACTGTTAAATAATCATGAACCACTAAGAGAGACTCTATATCATGGTGACTCCATTTCCCATTCTTATACTCATGACACCATCATAATATTCTCTTGTTTTGAAATATTCTGGTTACTAGTGAGGAGTGTTGAAGTCTCCAACAATAATACTGAGTGTGTCAGTTTCCCCTTTGCCTCGTGTATTTTTCTGCTCTGTTGTTGGGTGCACACGTTTGGAAATGCTGTGCCTTCCTGGAGAGTTGATCTCTTTGATTATATACAGTCCAAATTGGTCCCTGATAATTTTCCTTATTCTAAAGTCTGCTGTTCTGAAATTAGTATGGATACATCTGCTTTCTTTTTACTAGTGTTTGCATTTGTATCTTTTCTATCTTTTTGTTTTAAGCTACCAAATCTTTATAATTGGTTTCGTTTTGATGTCATAAAAGGATATTTATTTTAAAATAGCTTTTGTTGATTTAAAAAATAACAAATGCTCATCTTAAAACTATTTGTAAAATACAGAGGAGTGGAAAGGAAAGACTCACTGGCAAGTACCATTGAGAATAACCACTGTTGACATTTTGTGGTATCTTTTGATGTTTGAAAATTTTTTTTTCTTAATATTTTTAAACTTTTTTTTGAGGTGTAAATGACATATCACATTAGTCTCAGAGAGATAACACAAGGATTCGATATTTGTGTATGTTGTGAAACAATCACCACAATAAGTCTAATGTCTGTCACCTTACAAAGTTACAAACAAATTTTTCTTTTGATGGCAACTATTAAGATCTATCTCTTAGTAACTTTCAAATATGTAGTACAGCATTACTAACTATACTCCTCATACTGTACATTAGATCCCCAGGACTTATTTTAAAACTGGAAGTTTGTACCTTTTGACCCCTTTCACCCGTTTTGCCCAGCCACCTTGGCAATACAAATCCATTATCTGTATGTATGAGCTTGGGTTTTTTTGTGGGGTGGACTTTTTAGATTCCATGTAAGTGAAATCATATGATATTTGTTTTTTCTCTCTTATTTCCTCTGATGTCTCACTTAGCATAACGCCCTTGAGATCCGTCCATATTGTCACATATGGAAAGATTTCATTCTTTTTTTTTGAGTGAATAATATTCCATTGTATGTGTGTATATACCACGTTTTCCTTATCCGTTATCCATGGATGGGCACTTAGGTTGTTTCCATGTCTAGGCTATTGCAAATAATCCTGCAGTGACGATGAGGGTGCACATGTATCTTTTCAAGTTAGTCTTTTCATTTTCTTTAGATAAATACCCAGAAGTGGGATTGCTGGATCATATGGTACTTCTATTTTTAATTTTTTGAGAAACCTCCACACTGTTTTCCATAGTAGTTGAACCAATTTACATTCCAACCAACTGTTCACAAGGGTCCCCTTTTCTCCACATCATCACCAACACTTATTTGTTTTTATGATAAAGACATTCTGACACTTGTGAGGTGATATCTCCCTGTGGTATTGATTTGCATTTTTCTGATAATTAGTGATATTGTGCACCTTTTCATGCACCTGCTGGCCATCTATATGTCATCTTTGGAAAAAATGTCTATTCAGATGCTCGACTCATTTTTAATTGGATTTCTTGTTTTTCTGCTATTGAGTTGTATAAAATGTATATATTTTGGATATTAGCCTCTTATCTGATATATGACTTGCAAATATATTTTCTCCTATTCCATGGTTTGCCTTCTCATTGTGTTGATGATTTCCTTTGCTGTGTAGAAACTTTGTAGTTTAACGTAGTCTCACTTGTTTGTTTTGCTTTTGTTGCCATTGCTTTTGGTGTCAGATTAAAAAAAGTTGTTACCAAGACCTATGTCAAAAAGCTTAACACCTATGTTTTCTTCTAGGACTTTCATGTTTCAGGTCTTATCTTCAAGTCTCTAATCCATTTTGAGTCAATTTTGGTGTATGGTGTAAGATAACGGTCTACTTTCTTTCTTTTGCATGTGGCTTTCCAGTTTTCCCAATGCCATTGAAGGGACTTCCTTTCCTCTATTGTATATTCTTAGATCTTTTGTCATAAATTGACCATTTATGTATGGGTTTATTTATGGACTTTCTATTGTTTTATTGATCTGTGTCTTTTTTTTGCCACTATTGTTTATGCCATATTGTTTTGATTTCTATAGCTTTGTAATATAGTTTGAAATCAAGAAGTTTGATGCCTCCAGCTTTGTCCTTCTTTCTCAAGATTTCTTTGACTACTCGGGGTCTTTTGCGGCTGCATACAAGTTTTAGGATTTTTCTATTTCTGTGAAAAATGTCATTGGAATTTTGATGGGGATTGCACTGACTCTGTAGATGACTTTGGGTAGGATGGACACTTCAACAGTATTCTTCCAATCCATGAGCACAAATAACTTTCCATTTGTTCATGTCTTCTTCAATTTCTTTCATTAATGTCTTATAGTTTTCAGTGTACAGATCTTTTTCCTCCTTGGTTAAATTTATTCCTAAGTATTCTTTTTGGTTTCTTGTTGGAAGAATATGGTCGAGTCTTATCTTGTTGTGCACTCTGACAATCTCTGCCTTTTGACTGGTGCAGTTAGATCATATTAAAAAAAGAAAAACCCAGAATGATAGAAAATAAAGGTAGGTGTCATGGCTTCTTTCGTACCAGGCGTATGTACATCTCTACTTTTCTACTATGAAAAAAATATCTCCCTCGTATTTAAAAGTATTTCCTGTCTAAAACATATGGAGCCCCTTAGAACCCGTTCAAGGTGATGGCGTATGAGACCAAAGCACTGCCATTTGCCCTCTCAGACCTTTTCCAGGTCTAATGAGGGTCTACTGAAAGGCTTTAATGAATTTCCAAGATTCTTTACGTTTGTTTTTTATCTTCAGCAAGAATTTCAGGCTAAAATGAAGGCATTTTGTCAAATGGAGCTTTCTGGATCACAGTTCAGGTCAGAAACTTTCAAAATTATTGGTGATTTCTTCTTTTATGCCAACAGGTTCTCTCCAAACAAATTTAGTTTCTAACAACAATTAGCATAGCATAGAAATAGGATTTTTTAAACTGTAGGCTGTGAAACTGTATGTTACTGTCTTAGTGGCCACATGACAGTGCATTTATCAAAGCCTGAGGAACATACAGCGTAGAGAGTGCTTCATGTGTGAAACTTAAAAACAACTTAGGAGGTTGGGGAATCCCAGGATGGACTACAGACTGAGAAAAAGCACCTGTAAACATATGTTATGATGTATGAAACAACCTCACTAAAAGGGATGGGGGAAAAGGTGCTGACTTAAGTCACTTTGGAAATGAGCAGCATCTGTAAGACAAAAAGCAAGGGAACTGTACATACACGTTGTGCTCTGGTTCATAAAGTTGTTTCCCACGGGGTCAGGTTGACAACCCTGAAAATATTGTCACGTACAATGCGAATGAACAATTTAGTAAGTGGATGGCAGATGGGGGAATAGGTTTATGACTGTTACCGGGACTTTACAAAGAGAGAACACCTGCATGATCCATGTGGCAGTGGATTAGAGTTGGAGACAGCATGAACTCATATTTTACTTCACAGAGATACAAATAAAAATGTAGATATTTATATATACATGGGTTAGAGCACACACGTATTTCCTTGCTTTGTCAGTTGAGAAGCATCAACACTCCAATAGCAATGAGCACACCATGTGCCCAGACCTTGGCTTCTAATGCCACTCTTTATCAAAAGGATCCAGGGATCCTTCAAGAAATGGCTGACGCTAGCACTGGGGAAGGGAGTATACAAGATGAGCCTGGAGATTTTAATACCAGAAAGAAAGGAATGCTCAAAAACGAAAACCAACGAGAGTATGTCAAAGGGACACAGGAGCCAACTGAAATCTCTCAGTGGTCAAATCTGGAACAATTTGAGTAACAAAATAAAGTAGTATTAGATTATAACCCAAAGTATAACCGATATCCATGAGACCATATTTATAAGTTATTGAATATATAAGTAAATCGCAAAAGTAGACGAATCTGTGCAGAAGAACTCTATATAGTTCATGTAGCTTTTCCATCTTTAAGGAGGTAGAGTGTAATGCCTTAAGTGTGGGGGCTTTTGTTGATTTTTAGATAATAGAGTATAGAAAGGGAGAAAAAGAAAAAAGTAACTAAGTGGAGAAACCTGACAGCTATACCTCAGCCGGGAGATGAAGGTCAACACCAACATGATATGTCATGTTGACAGTGTGTATCCTTGATGTGTTGTGATGAAAATGGCACTTCGTCTCTGTGGTCTTCCTCCCAGAAGCCTTTAACACAGTCTGATGATGAGAAAGGCATCAGAAAATCTCCACCTGAGTGACAGCCTAGTAGGACCTAGACAGCTTTCCTCAGAACTGTCAAGGTCACCAAAACCCAGGAAAGTCTGAAAAATTGTCACAGCCCAGAGGAACCTAAGGAGATCCGACAACTAAACGCAATGTGGTGTCCTGGATGAGATCCTGGAAAACAAAGAGGATATGAGAAAAACACTAATGAAATAGGGATAAAATATGGATGTTAGTAAATATGCATCAATATTGGTTCCCTGGTTGTGACAAAGGTACCATAATATAACATATTTTCAATAACAGAAATGGGATATGGAGTACATGGGAACTCTGTAGTATCTTCATGCTTTTCTGTACATCTAAAACTATTCTAATATAAAATTATAAAATTTTATTTAAAAATATGGTTCATATAAGTTGATAGTAGACAGGGCACACCTCTGTATAAACCAACTTTGGTCAGACCATGTTCT